GTGAATCTGCATGACGATGAATTTATTCAATGCAACAAGTCGGACACAACTCGGAGCGCAAAGGCTCGTCGGAGGCTCTCGGATAACTAACTTTCGACGAAAAGAAAAGCAGAAAGCCAAGTCGAGACAAGCAAGTTTCCACCGCTGATAGATAAAACCGGAGATTTTTGGAATGGAATGGCAAATATTCCGAAAAGCGTAACGAAGGTATTGACATTTAAGAAAACGAAGTCTCTACGGTCTTTAAAGCAATATAATGTAAAGCACATGCGCGGTACCGTGCATCATTGATCACGATGAGAAAAATAAAGCACATAAGAATGGCGTACGTAACTATAAATTTATGTAAAATCAAGCGAAGGTCCGTAGAATCGTATATCGTAGTGATGGGCTCATTGGAAAGGATATGCCATCGAGATGGTCCAGTTTCATCGGTGACGAATCTTTTCGGGTAATTGCGAAAGGAAAAATGTGGGAACGAGGACGATGTTAATTGAGGATCGATCGTGCGTGTCCGTCGTGCATACCATTACATATAGTTGCCGCACGAAGCCTCGCATTTCTATTGCCAACGGAAACTCTATAGATAGAGACTTATCTGTCGTAAATTATAAATTTGATAAGGGTTATTGTTCCGTAATTCTTTGGAATGTCGAGTGCGACGCTAAATAAGTGCAGACGCTCTCAACGCAAACGTATAATCGTCCACGGCACAACAGCTGTCGGTCGTTTCTCGCGTGGCCGTGGTGGCGGAACGAAAAGTCGGGCGCGCTCTCGCGTACTTTCCTCTCGTGAATTGCTGATCTGCGGGGGGGGGGGGGGGCGAAAAAAGAGCGCGAGCCGCGGACGCCGCGCGCGTCCCGAGGTCCTAACTTGTCTAAATCCTTAATCTTTCCACGGTCCGGCGAAAGTTGCCAAGGGTCGTTGAGGAGCTTCTTCGACGATCGTAAATGCGAGCACGGCCCGTTTGTCATCTTTTTTTTTTCTTTTTTCTCATCCTGTCCGGCGATTGTTGGCCCGTCCGCGCTCGTAAAAGCCGTCCCGGCGAAAAGTGCCGTGACCCGCGGACGCGCCCGGGAAAACAGGTAAGAGCCGCGTCGCATAATAGGCCAAGGCCCCGTTTACAAGGTCGTAGAATTAATATTGTTTACTTTTGAAAAGTGGACCCCCCGCAAACTGCACCGCTGCTGCGCAGTACCTTTCTTAATATCTCTGATCCGGCTAACACGTTTTCTTTTCTGACTCTCTCTCTCTCTCTCTCTCTCTCTCTCGCTCGCTCGCTCGCTCACTTTCTCTCTTTCTCCTTATTCTTCGTTCTCAATCGGCCCTAGGGAGCATTTTCGTATTCTCACCAACAAATATATGAAACGTATTACTGACGTCGGTACCCCATCCACCTCGACAAGCTTACCAGCGGCGAGTGGCATGCGGGTTACGTGAAACGATTCGCCCACGATTGCGTCAGAATAGCATCAGGCTGACCGGCTTTGCGAATAACAATGGTTGCTCGCTTGGACGATTGCCTAGCAGCATCACATAAGTAAATAACGCACTTGGTTTGTGACTCTGGCTATCGGTCGACTTCGGCTAAATTCATGGATCCGCTTGGTTTTACATTATTTTTATAGTTGCGCGCGCCGTTCTTATGTGCTTTTTTTCTCTTCGTGATAAATGATGCGCGGTACCTCGCATGTGCGTTCCATTACATTGCTTTAAAGACCGTAGAGACTTCGTTTTCTTAAATGTCAATACCTTCGTTACGCTTTTCGGAATATTTGCCATTCCACTCCAAAAATCTCCGGTTTTATCTATCAGCGGTGGAAACTTGCTCGTCTCGACTTGGCTCTCTTCTTTTCTTTTCGTCGAAAGTTAGTTATCCGAGAGCCTCCGACGAGCCTGTGCGCTCCGAGTTGTGTCCAACTTGTTGCATTGAATAAATTCATCGTCATGCAGATTCACGTTTATTTGAACAAACGCTCGGCTGAACTTCATTTTAATCCAAAGAGCAATAAAAAGTGCAAAAGTTATATGCACACGCGAGCAGATGCGAGTAACAGTTTTCAATCGCTGAGAAAACAATAAAATGCCAAATGCTTTTCAAAATTTTGAAAGCTTCCCTTATAATAAGACAGCTGACTTTAATAAAAATATGATTATAATTAGACGCAACTCATCGATATGTATGAGATAAAGAAAAAGATGGGTAAAAAACGTGAAAACGAAAAAGTTACAACAAAATAACGTAAAGAGTGCCAAATCGCCATTTGAAGGCTTCCTCTTCAAGGCAGCAAACACGCTGCCAACTACATTGGCACAGTACTTTCTCACAAAGAGAAAACAACTTTGCATTAGAAAAGAAAAAAACAACCATACAACAAGAAAAAATGATGTTGTATACTTCTCTATAATTAAAATGAAATATTAAATCTCAATAATTACTTAAATTAATAAAATTACACTTAAACGTAAGAGGAAAATTGGAACAAAAAATCATGAAAAGAAAATTAGAGCAACGTGCAGAAATCATCGAAAAATGCTTCCTGTTGAATGAAGCAACAATTATTCCAAAAGAAGGCCGACTTAAATTTCATTTTCGCAAACTTACTACTCACTCGAGCTAATAATAAAAGGGGCCGCTATCGAAACCAATTAAAGGATACTGGAGAGATGGACAAACGGACGTAAAAAGCAAAGAAGAAAAAATGATATCCAGCACGCGGAACAACCACATCTATGTCGCAGTCGGTGAAAATATACGATGGAGCACGCGACAACTTGACCGCGAGCGAGCTTCTCGTGCGGCTACCAATGATCGACGCAATAATCGAGCAAAACAAGGCGGCGAACAGCAAGAGGCCGTTGTTAAGACAACAAACGTAATAAGCGAGCGTCGTGCTGACGCAAAATTTACAACTATACTCCGTTGCAATCGGCCTTCTTCGGTTTTCTTTTTTTTTTTTTTCGCTGCACCCGCTGTTCAGCTAGGCAGCTAGAATTGACAACGGTGAACAGCGATGCCTCGGTCTTTATTCCCTTTTCATCGACGATTACCACGAGCAAACGAGTTCGTTTTGTTTTTTTTTAGCTGTCTTTTTAAGAGAACGTAAAAGGCGTGAACGTTGGGTTCCCATTGGGCGACTCCGCCTCGAGCGCCGCACTCCGAAAGGCAGAGATGGAGGTCGCGCGCATAATGAGCCGTGACGTCGTATGGGATACTCGTTAGGGGAACACACGGCAAGATGGAAGCCCGCGCATCGCGGGCGCGTTCTGCGGGTTGGCAGCGGAGATGCGCGCGTCACTTTGGCTCGCATCGAAGTTATTGAAGCGGGGCTGTATGTGTATTTCGTGGCAGCCGAGTGATTTATTGTATAGACGGTCATCATAACTTATTCGCTAGACGTTATCGCGGCTTAATCATGAAAATCTGTTCACACATTTGACACCATTATCATTTGTGATTTATTGCCCTCCGAGGCGCGAGCTTCAATAGAATATACCAAAAGCCAACAACAACACTGCATTTTTATTGTTTACTCGTTATTCTACGAGTCGACATTATAATAATCGTCCTGCTTTATCGCAGCATCTCCATTTCTATTCTGACTTTTCGCTCGTGAATCTTGCACGAAAACAAAGACGACCAACTTTTTATTACACATGGATTTATTTTTGCATCGTGTGCACTCTTGTCACAATTGACTCTCGGAAAAATTCGGCAATACAGAAATCATTACTTTTATTTTCAATGTGCTTCTATATTTTACACCTGTGAAAAATGCGAATAATCTTCATATTTCTGATTATATAAGTATAATATAACACGCAGTGGTGAAATCCATATCAGCTCGATACCATATATTCGGTGAAAGTAAAATTGCATTGAGATATTATATGTCAATGCTGTGCGGGCAAGTGAAAATCCTCAAAACGGACGTCGATTTGCTTCTCCAGAAACGTTTTTCAGCAGTTTCTTGGTTGAAAAATCCATTTATTTGTCCTCCAATTGCACCCATGCGAACGATTCGTCGCGAAGAATTTCAAACGAATTCAAACAAAGAATTTGAAGGAAAGAGTAAATGCCCCTACTTTTACTGATAAACATAGACAGCGAGAATAAATCAGCATTGATGAAATATCTAACATAACCATCTTGTCTGATTATATCAATAGAAAAATGTTGACAAGTAATCTGATTAATTAAAAATTAGATGATAAAGCGTCTTTCGAGACATCGTAATGAACGAGTAGGAATACTTAAACTTATCTTTCAAAGTATTTGTTGAAAACTAAGTACACATTTTTTAATAGTTGTGGCAAACGATTGGCTTTATTGAATCCGATCAAGAATTTGCTTGAAGAATGATCATTATAAAATCAATAGAACATTTGAAAAATCAATATGAGCGTTTACAAGATTTTAACCTTATCAGATGGGTTGCCTAAAAATTTGCAGGTATTAGTGGTGCTATAGCATGCAATTGATGAACAAGCACTCTCTAGCCTCTAGCGTTGTTGGCATTGAAAATATCGGCCGAGAAAGAACAAGAGGTTCCATCTGTGTGACGCAACGCAGTAGATAAATACTGCCGCCGATAAAGTAGGGAGTGTTCGTATGGACAGCCGATTGGTGGGTACTTTTGTTTAGCAGCATGTACACCAGACGAACGCGCCTGTCATCGACATTCAAGTATTGTTCATGTTATTGGTGTTTAAATAGGGAAATTACTTATTTCGATTAGATTTATTGCGAGCATTGCGAATAAAAATGATGGAAGCAATGTCTCTGTCAATGCTCGATGAGTGCGTTCGATGACAAATTCTCTGCAAGTTCAAATAAGGTTTGCCGCTTTGAAATGATTTATTGAGCAGAGAGAGAGAGAGAGAGAGAGAGAGAGAGAGAGAGAGAGAGAGAGAGAGAGAGAGAGAGAGAGAGAGAGAGAGATTAACCTCGTCGCGCAAAAATCAGCACAGTTCTGTCAATGGGCCTATCGATGCCGATCATGGAGAAGAGTAAAGTGATGCAAATCGTAAAATTGAAAAACCATTCGCCGACATTCCATGACGTTTGGAGGAAGTTCAACGACATTACGAAAAACATCGCCTTCTCCATGGTCCTCGATCTCTTTCCGATAACTCCTTTGGAAATGAAAACGTTGCAAAATGCGATCCGACTGGCCGAACCGTTCTACCAATTTCCCAGCGAGACCCAGCTGCTGGAGATAATAATTCCTCGTATTTACAATCAAGTGAAGCAAAAAGTGCTAAATACTATAAAGAGCGATTTGCTGAAAGGTGGCAAAGATTCCTCAGAACAAAGAAGCAGAGGCGAATTGACGAAACGAAAAAATTACACGTTGCTACTTTTGCAGAAGTGAAGAGCGTAGCTTTAACGATAGACGGGTGGAACGGGCGCAGCATAGCCGATTACATGTCCGTGACGATACATTATTGGACCGAGGAGTACGAGTGCCGGCACCTGCTGCTGCAGCTGGAGAGCCTGCCGCGTACCTGGAACACAGCTCAGGATCTGTTCCACCTGATCGAGAACGTGCTGCTGAAGTACGGCCTGTCCGAGGAGAGAACCGAGTCCGTTCACATAGTCACGGCAAACGGCAACAACATCGTCAAAGCCATCTCCATGAGCGACAAGTGGATAAGGATACCGTGCTTCGCGCGGCTCTTTCAGCAAACCGTCGACGACGTCCTGCGCAGCTTTCCCCACTTGGACGAGCTTGTGACCAAGTGCCGATACTTGCTGGCCGCCATATGGACCAAGTCGGCCACGGACGTCGAGTTCCACAAGAGCAAGCTCCACTCCAGCTGCATCCTGGACGACATCGTGCCCTCGTGGAACTCGATATTCGACATTTTCGACAGCCTGCTAAAGTTGCGTAGCACGCTGCAGATTTTCCTCGAGGAGGCCGACTTGCCGGCCAAAGGATTGGCCGAGGCCGACTGGGAGACCATCGAGTCGTACGTGCAAATGTTCTCGCTGCTGAAGCAGGCCAGCGTGCTGTTCAGCGAGGAGGCCTACCCGCCTCTGTCGCTCTACCTGCCGACGATCCGCGGCATCCTCGAGCTCATGGAGTCCATGAATCTCAACAACCAGCTGTCGGTCCAGCTGATACGCTCGATCTGCTCGAGATTCGGCCACATCAACACCAACCAGTCGATGATCATCGCCATGGTCCTCGATCCCAGATTCAAAACTCGCCTGTTGGCCGAGGACGAGCAGTTCGCCGTTTTCGACATGGTCAAGGGCAAGATGCTCTCCGTGGATCGCGACGAGCGGCAGGCCACCCGAGGCGACACCGACAGGATCGAGCATTTCGCAGGCATGGCGCTCCGTTCCCCTTCCCTCCGCCTTGTCGCCAAATAACGCGTGCCGTGCTCGTTCGTTCCAGATCAATCGTTGAAGACCTACTTCACCAAGATAGAGACGAAGAAAGCCGCCGACGACACCGACGGCAGGCTGGCAGAAGCGGAGCTGACCTACTACTTGTGTCAGAACGTAGTCCCGATGAACACCGCCATCAACCAGTGGTGGAAAGGCAATTGCAGGCACTTCCCCAAGCTGGCCAAGTTGGCGAGGATCTATCTTTCCGTGCCGGCGGTGCAAGTGTGCTCCGAGCGAGCTTTTCCCAACAAGCGAGGCTTCATCGTTGACAGCCGAGCCGAGCTGTTGACCAGCCAAGTGAACGTCTTGGATCTCATGAGAATCAGCTTTTTGAACTCTAATTTAGGTCAGTTTAGAGACGACGTCGATTTATAAAGGAGAGAAACGAGGTGCAGTTTTTCTCTTAAAGACTATTTTTTAACAATTAGGAAAATTGAAAGTGTGCGATAGAAAACGGGCGCGTTGTCATAGCGTAGTAACAGGTGTTCTCTCGCTTGGAAGCCACGTTACTTCCGTTGCCATGGAAACGATTCCGTAAACAGCGTCGAGCAAATCATGCGTACTGTAGTGAATAAGACCGGGTAAAGTGTTAGTGCCTGTCCAAGTTATTACAATTTAAACAACTTATTTATACGACATTGTACAGCAAATTGCTTAATAAAATACTTATTGCCAAACGAGTCGATTGATTTGAAGAAGCGAGGCGAGCCATGGCAGACAGAGTGCCGCACTTCGTAAGTGGCTTCGGCTCCAAGCCGCAAGAGAAACGAGCAAAGGACGCGCACTTGAATCTCTGCCACAAGAAAGCATACTTCCAACGTCGGTTGAACGACAGCTCGGTGATAACGACGGACGCGAGAAAGAGAGTCAGGCACCAGACGAGCGCAAAGGAATCGTGCGACGTCGACGACGACGACGGCTTGTACTCGTCTCTTGACTCGCCTCTGACCAGCAGAGTCGTCAAGCCGTACCCACTCGAGCATCAGATGGCGTTTTGCAAGAGCGACAATCACGCGAGCCACAAAGTACTGGAGGTCGCGATAAGGGAGGTCAGCGTGCAGCCGCATCACAGCTACAGCAAAGCCCCGCCGGAGATTAGCAGCGTGGCGATACTCTTCAAAAACCAAGCGATCTGCAAGGCGCGTCGACCGTTCAACCGGAAACTGCACAAATTCTTCATCAGCAGCCTGTCCGACTCCAGCGATCTCTCCATGCAAGTTCAGGGGGCCCACGGAATACAAAGTGCCCTGCCGCTTCCGCTGCCGGAGCGGTGCGTCAAATCCAAGAGGCTCGAGATTGATTTTGCGATCGACGACGGCACCGGGATCGCGTACCCGGGCACGCTGGTTTGCACGCTCTCCTTGAGCCTCGGCGACTCGGCCGCGAAAACCGAGGCAGCGACTTACCTGTACAGCCCGCCGACGAACGATCCCAACGATCCGCGAAGCAGCTTCTCGGCCGTCAAGCCCAGAGCCGACACTCAGACCAAACCAGTTCGCTACTTTCTTCTTCGCGATCCGCTATTGTGCTTCCCGTCCACGTCGTCGGCTCTACTCCAGGAGCCGAGCGCAGTAAGTAGCACACGATCTATATACACAGGCACAAGAGCCTTTCTTCCCCACCGAGCTAGCTAATCGCGTCGCTCGTCGGCTTATCGATGGCGCGAAGAAGAGGGGGATGGCCAAGCCACCGGATGTCGTGGTCGCCGAGCAGATGTTTTCCCTGCTCGACGTCTCTCTGCGCAGCTGGTTCCAAGAGAGACGGCCGCTGCGACCGACCTCGGGCGCGGCCCACGTGCCGAAGCACCACGCTGCACGCAAGCAAACTCTCACGGTGACGGTGCTGCGCGGCGTGGAGGTGCCGGTGCGCGAGGAGTCCGCGCTGGTCCAGCCGATCGTCGAAGTGGAGTGGTGCGACGTCGCGGGGGCCACCTCGGCGTCGGAGGGCCCGGCGCCGGTCTGGCAGCAGACCATACAACTGGAGGCGCCGACGTCGAAGATGAGGTAACCGCGCGCGAGCGTGCGATCCCGTCGTTAACCCGTTAACCCGTTAACCCGCAGCAAATCCGCGCCTCTCTGTTTTCAAGCGGAGAGCATTGCGTGAAAATCCGACTGTTCGACCAGCATCCAGTCTGGGGTCTGCAGTGGCTGGGCGAGGCGCGAATCCCGGTCGAATGTCATCGCAACTATCAGCAGCTAGAGCGTTGGGTGGGGCTCTCGTCCCTCTACAGCCCGACCTTCTCGTTCGGCTACGTGCAAGCCAGTCCTGGCTTCTCCTACACGCGCATCTACATGCTGATGAAGATGGAGCAGATGGCCGCGATGAATCCGATCGACGGCGGTTCCATCGACAGTCTGTCCAAGGCCATTCAGAGGTGCCTCGTGGTGCCGTATAAGATCGCCGAGATCGAGACGCCCGAGGAGGCCGCCAACTTGGCCATGTTACTCGAGGCGCTGCCTGTCCATTACGGCCCGCTCACGCCCCGACAGGCGCTCAATCTGAATAAAGTCGACCACTACGGACGATCGGCGCTACTCGCCACGCTTTTGCAGGGATTGGGGTTGCAGTCGTACGTGGTGCTGGGTAAGTCTTTCCGCGCGATCCTCGTGCCTGTTTCTCAGTTTTCAGTTCTTTGCTTTTCCGTTCAGGCTCATCGCAGACGAGGAAATGGGCCTCCTTCGCTCTGACGATCGCCGACAATTCGAGCGCCACGCTGTGGGACGCCGAGAGCGGTGATCACTACGAGCTGGAGGACAATCGCTGCGCCCTGATCAAGGTTTCTCGTCTCGTCAATCATCACAGCGTGAGTATGTCGCGGCTGCGACGCTGAACGCAGTTGTCGCGCTAAGAACGCCCGACGGCTTTCCGACAGATATGGGAAAACGCTCAAAAGTCCGTGGCGCCGGCCAACCTGAAGTACGACACGAGAAGCGGCAAGGACTGGCAGGTATTGATCAGCAATCCAGCGGCGGCGGTGAGCTCGCGCAACCTGCAAACGGTGGAGTTGAGCGTCGCGCACGAGGAGGAGCAGGACGAGCCGAACGAGAAGAGCGTGGCGCAGCAGATGGAGGAGACCCTGCGCGAGGATCTGACGCGATGGAGAGCTGCGCTGGAATTGCCGACGATTTTCAACAGGCACGCCGACGCCGTACTTCGCGATATTCTCACGAAAACCGACAGCTCCAGCGAGACTCCGTTGGATAAGAAGGAGCTCAGGCAGCTCTACCGAGCTTATTACGCTCACGGATTTATCGTGAACGTCAGGTACAAGGATTTGGACGATTTGTCGAGTTTTTTGTCGTCGACGAAAATTCATCTGATGGCGGGACCGATCGAGTTCGCTCTGGTCTGTTACGTAAAGAAGTTGGTCGGCAGGATTCGGTCGATCTGGCTGGCTGTGGTGATTCTTAGGAGCAAAACTTGAATCGATCTGCCACCTCGCCTGAACAAGACTCGCCGCTTCTCTTTCATTCGACTAGAGAGCATCGCAGATAGGTGAAATAAGTACAAACGCATGGTTTTTTTTACTAATAAAACATTGCTCAGCAATGACATTTTATAACAATTGATAGTCATATTCATTACATTGTGATATCGAATAACGTACCGATAGTACTTGAATTACCCACGACTCAGAGGAAAAAGAAGTAATAGAAACAAACGGAAACTAATGGAATGACAAAAACTTGACTCGCAGAGACCGAAAACGATGGATGACTATAAGATCGACACCAGAAGAACTACACCGTCTGTAAAGTGCATCGTGTGTGCACGCACGTGCAAGGCGCATTTCAATTGAATTTAATTGACCGCAGTTTACTCTTCCTCTACCTAAAATCAATTCTATTGGTTCAATAAACATTCTTTGTCAATCGCAACCGTGTGTGTGCGAAAATTTCTTCATTTCTCCTCTCACCATTTGATTTTTCCTTTTTGTTTGCTTTGCGCGTACGTTTGAAAATAAATGGCAGATTGTATCTCGCGATGCACAATTATTATTAATTTGTGTTCATAACTTTCGCTCTGTCAACACATATATACGTCACGCTAACCTGAATGTATCCCTATCACACACTTTTGTCATAGCAGCTCTAGTTAATTTCGCTAAGTTTTTCTTTTTTCATTGTAAATGTGTGCGAGTGTGTTTGTATGTATGTATATAACGTTGTGAAATCAATTGCACGCTGTATACAATATAATCGGTTTCTCGTACTGTTTAAAAACATCAAACAAGAATCAATAACAATCGTTTGTCGGTTAAAAATGAACTTATCAAATTTTGTACGTCGTATGTATAAAATCTAGCGAACGAATGTATATATGTATATGCACATATATTTTACTTATGCATACTGCGTACGTACGTATGTGTGTGTATATATATATACTGCTAATACGTACTCAAGTGGAAGTTACGTAGCATGTAGAAAAATTAAAAACTTTCTCGGCGAAAACCGCGTGAAATTACAATGCGAGTGGCCGCCCAAGACAACGTCAAATCATCGCGTTCTCTTGCGGACAAACAACTCGAAATCAGAACAGCGCTTTGTTCGGCAAAAGAGAAGCAATGTACCCACCCAGTGTCCTTTTGCTGCTGTCGTTGTTGCTCACTCCTCGTAAACTTATAGAACAATAATGCAATAATTTATAAATAAAGGTAGTAGAATCGGCTTGCAACGTCATGACCCCCGGTTTGCAAAGTAACATTGGCAAGTACAAATCTCTGGTCCGGCATTTTGATTGAGCGCGGATAAGTGTCGTTGAAGAGAAACGAGAGCACGCTCCGGAGCGCTGGAATCACGCAGCGTCGTCGCAAAGATTTGCACTTCGCCCTCGGCAGCAGCACGCGCGTAACGTCGTTCATACATGTTTATATCGTAATCGTGTATATGACATATATCCCCCCTCCCCCGCATTGAGCTTCCTGCGAATAATTATCATGTAAACGCTATTACAGAGACGTCGCGTGCGAAGGTCGGGCCTCCGACGCTGCGCGAGTTGTAAGATCCGTCGGCGCGCGAGAGCCGATCACTGCACCTTCTTCGTGGCGCCGTTCGTGTGGCCGTTGGCCAGACCGTTGGCCAAGTTGCCGTTGGGCTGCTTGCCGTTGAGCAGTCTCGCCTGCCTCGCCTGCTGCTTCTGCAGTTGCTTGGCTGCGTACGCCTGTTTACCCTGCAATGCAAGTCGGCGGTGGCGCGTCGGTTAATGTGCTCGCGAGCAGTTTAAATGAAATGAGCGTTCGGCGATCGAGCGTCGTCGAGGCGGTGGGACGGTCGAGCGCGACGCGCGACTTACTTGATCGTCTCCGGGCTTCTTGTCCTTCGCAAGCGTGAATCGAAAGAGACCGATTAAGCACAGCGCCGAGCGCACGGACAAGCGCAACACCGGGAATTACCTTAGCAATGTAGGCTTTGGCATAGAAGTTCCCGAAGAGGACGATGAAGGAGAGCATGTAGATGACAAGGGCATACTGCATCCAGAGTGGAAAGTCGCAGCCGTTCTTGATGCCGTTGATGCCGAGGACGAGCGCGGTGGTGAACTGGATGAGCTGCAGTATCGTCAAGTACTTCTTCCACCAGAGATATCTGGCCACGGTCGGGCCCAAGGCCGCCAGGCCGTAGTAGGTGTACATCAGCACGTGGATGAAGCTGTTGACCATGGCTGGCAGGAACGCTGCGAGAAGCCGAGCGGCGATGAGGAGCTTGGAGGCGTGGGCGCGCGCGCCGCGGCTCGCCGGTCGAGCTACTTACTGGAGCCGCTCGGCACCCACTTGATTCCGATCCACCAGAGCGAGAACATGGTCGAGTGGTGATAGACGTGCAGGAAGCTCAGCTGGTTCTCCTTCTTGCGCAGGATGAAGAAGAAGGTGTCGCAGAACTCGAGCAGCTTGCTGAAGTAGTACCACCAGACGGCGTTGGCGATCTAGCGAGCAGGCACAGAGACGGTGAGCAGCACAGAGACGCCGGCGACTCTGAAAGGCGCCCGCGCTTACCTGCAACTCCTCCGGCCTCGTGATGTGCCTGATCGGCTGGCAGACGTAGCTGTAGCGCAGCTTCGTCGACGCCACGAACAGCTGTAAACAGACGGACAGACGGACAGACGGACAGACGGACGGAGAGGCTGGGGCCACAGCGTGGCGCCGAGCGTCGCGCCGAGCGTCGCGCCCCCTCACCTCGACGGCGATGTAGAGGTTGAGGGCAGCCATGGCCAGGTTGTAGGGCACCAGCGCCCAGGTCAGCTTGAACGCCTTGCGGTGCCTCATCAGCTTCGGGCCCGACCACACGATGAACAGGTAGAGAGCGGTGTAGAGCAGCGTGGGCCGCGGCGAGTCGACCAGCAGCCATCCTCTCGTTCGCTCGTCTGGTTCGCATTCGAGCAGCCGCCGATTACCTTCTGCGCTGCGCCGTGCCGCGCTTTCTCCTTTCGAATCGCGCGCCGGCCGAGACAATGCACCCGAAGGATGCCGCGCGATCGTCTCGTTGGCGCGCCCGCGAGGCGGCTAATTCACAGCTACACGCGACGGCCCAACTAATTATCCACGGGTGGGCCGATTGTTCGCGCGTCGCCGCCACGAGGAAAGCCGCGGCCGGTAAAGGTCGACGCGTGCGCGCGGCAATGAAGCCGGCGCGCTTCCGGCGCGGCGCCGCCGTCGGCGGACCGCGCGAGCCCGATAACGGCGACGCGCGGCCAAAGTAATTGCACAACTTACCGGCCAACGACAGCGTCCACAGGTAATAGTCGTAGGCGTCGTTGATGAAAGCGGCCGTGGAGTCGATGAGGCCCGCCATTGCCTGCAAGAGAGTGCATCAGCCTTGTGGCCCGAGCGGCCCTTCCTCGGCGCCGCGTCACGTCGCGGGACGAGCGCAAGAGCCGCGGGCCACTGGCCACTCGTTTCTTCCCGCGGCGCTAGCTCGGGACGCGCGATTCCGCGTCTTTTGGCCGCGAGGCTCGGCTCGTTTCCGCGCAGGGTGACTTTCGCTTTCGCGCCGCCGGACTAACCAGTCGCGAGCTTCGGAATTTTTCGGTTAGGTAATAATGGAATATTTCGCAGGCGCGAGCGCAATTTCTCCGGGCGGCGAACGAGACTCGATCGGCCTGCTTTCGCCGCTCCGCGTTCGCAGTTCGACGTCGCCCGGCTGGACCCTCCGGGAGAGCTTCGCCGTCTCGACGGGCTACCGCGAGCGCAAATAACTTCCACGCGAGCCGAGCGAAGCGGATGGAAAAAATAAAAATTTTGCTCGACTTTCATCGGCGTTAATCGGCCGGCGCTTGCAGTTTCACTCGCGGAAACGGCCGCGACCTGCCGAGGCGCTCGCCGCCTTCCACTTCTCTCTCGCTCGTATATCTTTTCCTCTCGGTGCCCGTTGCGCGGGAGAGAAAGTGCAAATTGATGCTCGCACGAGAGGCTCTTTCCGAAGCATCGGCGTGGCGCGTTTTGTGTTCGCAGCCTGGTCGGCCGAGGAGAGGGAGCGAGGATCCCGCCGAGAGCGAGAGTTCCGCTGGCGGATGTTCATCCCGCGTTCAACGATCTCCGCCGCGATCGCGGTGAAACCTGGCCTGCTCGCGGCCGATTCGGGGACCGGGGGCAGCCTGGCACGATCGTCCGTTCACGCTTCGCGCGCTCGGCGGCGCCCGAGTGAAAGGACGACGAGCTTTTTCGCGTCGTCGCCGACGGCCAATGCGGAAATTGCCGAAGCTCGGCCCGCCGCCCTTCGGCGCCTTGTCGCTTCGCAACATCCGCGAGACAACGCGGCCGTGCGACGCGCGCGGCGCTCGCCAGTCTCATTCCAATTCAAATGCGCCACGCTACTCTTTCCCTTTTTTTGCTAGCACTGCTATTCTGCGAGTTTTTATTGAACGTCCTTAAAAAAGAAAGAAGAGAAGAAAAACAAAATATGCAGATTTGGAAGGCGCCGTTATCCGTTACAGCCGCGTAAATTTTTACGAGACACTTGCTTAAATAGAACAACGATTGCTCTCTCCCTCTCTCTCTCTCTCTCTCTCTCTCTCTCTCTCTCTCTCCTAAATAAATCAAATTCCATGCGCGCCGAGAGTAAGTGCTTACGCTCTGACTTTTACAGCGCCTGACATTTGAATTTTATAAACATTTAGACTTTCACGCGCTCGAGAGCATTTTTGCGCTTTGTTTTTACGACGATTTTCACCTCAAGAGAATTTCCTGCGCGGACGCGCGTTTGCCGGCCGCGCTTCGATTATTTACGGCTGTTCGCAAACTCATTACAACGCGGCTCGCGTCTATCAATAAAGTCGGCATCTTTATCGCGCGGACGCTAGCCGAGGCGCAGGTGGTCTCGCGGAAAAGCGAATTCGACGGAATTCGTTGCTCCGACCGCGTTGCAAATTTGGAAAGCTCGCGCGGCGGATGTGTGTCAGCGGGAAACGACGCGCCCGTTAGCTTAGCGGCCGTTTAGAAAATAGGCTTTCGATCGGAGCGTCTTTCGCCGAGGATCGCCTTAATTTCGACTGCGAGCGGATCGCAATCGAGGAAAGGCGAACGCTCGCATCGGTTCCGTAAAGCCAAATTTCCACCTACGTGTTTGCCGCTCGGGTGAAAAAGTTGAGTATCCGACTGCAGCGGCGTGGCCGATCGGCCCAACTTTTTATCTGCAAGTTGGAATGAAAAGAAACAACAACGCATTAGTCGACCGTCAAATTTATCTACGTACGCGTCGGTCGAAAATTGCCGGCACTTATAGACGGCATTAGCCTCGCTCGACGCAGCGGGATAATCGCGAGCACGGGGCAAAGCTCTCGTAAACGTAAAGCGCGAAAACAAGAAGGAACGAGAGAGAGAAAAAGCCTAATTTTCAGCCTCAATTGTCGCGCAGCCAAGTAAGCCAGCAGCATTAACCCGCTTTCCCATTCGATTAATCACGAGCGTCGCGAGAGAAGGAAGAAAAATGTCGCTGAAAGCGCGTCGTCATCGGCGACGACATCGACGTCGCGTCTCTTACCTTATGGACGAAAGCAAGTCCTGTTGTCTCGCGGTGAGCGCGCGCGCGCGCGAAAAACGGAGATGAGTCGGTCGCACTTGGACACTCGCGTTCGCGCACGACCTCGGCTCGGGACGAGAACGACGAGAAGGAGGAGGAGGAGGAGGAGGAGGAGGAGAAGGAAGAAGAAGAAGAAGAAGAGTTAAGATAGGAAAGGGCACGGGTGAGCAGCGACTCGCATGGCCCGCGGACTAAGATCGACTGAGTTGCGTGCGAGGCGGCACCGAGCGCGTCGGACTACCAAGTGCCAGCGGCTGGTTCGCGCGTCAGGTGTGCTTTATAACTTTGGTCCAGGCCGTGGCTGCCGTGGTAGGCGGCTAACCGGGCCAAAAGCCTGCCACAGTGGGGTTTATCCCCACACACGTTCCGCATCAACGTCGAGCTTCGACGCGCGGAGAGGGAACGCGACTCTTTCGACACTGCCGTCTCTCTCTTTCGCTCGAATTATCATTATTTTATTTTCCTTTTCGATTATGCCTGCACTTTGTACACCTCGATCGAGAACACTTCTGACCTCGTTACTTCTGTTTAGCTGACCGCAGCGTTCCTCCTCCTTCTTCTTCTTCTTCTTCTTCTTCGCTTTTTTTTTCTTACCTTTTGAGCAACGAGCCGTTCGCTCATCTTTTGCAGATGAATGACATTTTTGACGACTTTCCAACGGCTATGTTATACTTTCCTTACACTGCGCCGAATAATAGAAATGAGTACGCGCTGGTGTTAGCAGTTTTTTTTTTCGTCAGGTGCGAGATGATTTGGAGTTATTGAATTGTAACGGTGAACTCTGCCTGATGTTCTGGATTTTATATTTTTTTTAATGCCTCGGTAAATTGCAGTGCTTCGCTTCTGTCTTTGCTATTCCCGATTTCATAAGTTTGTATTTATCCGAAGCCACTTTTTCTTCGCAATCCTGAATTTCACGGCAAGAATATTTCTTTCAATTTGCCTGACGGACGATATGTAAACTTGAACTGATTGCCAAATTTATCGAGTGTTCCTCTTCAAATGGCTTTCTTACAAAATTCCAATTGTCCAAACGTACTAGAATAAAATGGAGACACATGTGTGTCGATTTTAATGAGCCCATTCAAAGCTACACGATATCTGGGATATCTAGGACATCATCTCAAAAGATGTTCTGAAATAGAACTTGGATAAACGCGCTTTCGTTTTGCGAATGCATATTTATATCGTATCAAGGGGATCATCGATTCACACCAAAAGAATATCGTTACAAGGAAAAAAAAATAATTTGAATTTAAGGTCGAAAATGCGTCTGCTACGCGTTTCAAGTTAATCAGTTCAATGGTCGTCCTCAAAATCCACATCGTTCTATAAACCATCAGAATAGACCGACTGTGTGTGCGTGTGTGTCATCGAAAGTCGATAAGAAAATAGTAAATCATCGTTGGACCATGGCAATCTTTGCGAGAAAAAAAAATCCATATCCCGTATGATTTTCGCCAGGCGACTCTTAAGTTTCGAGTAGGCAACAGGTACAAAAAGAGCGCGCGCGCATGAGAGAGAGAGAGAGAGAGACGGCAGACAGTTGAGTCCACTGATTGCTCTAAAAATTTTCGATAGGTCATACACGAGCCACACAGAGAGTCGGCGCCGTCGACTAACAGTTCTCCCAGCAACGACCTTAAAATCTTGAAAGTGTTAAATGCAAACGTTTCTCGTGCGCGCAATACGTCCATTGGGTCTCGTACATCGGTGATTTATCGTTCGACGCGCGGTAAGGGCGGTGGGGAGGGGGGCTGATCGAACGGTTTTTCGCTCGTTCAGCCTACCCCGCGAGCGTGTCAACGTTTTTCGATGCGCTTCGACGGAAGGTCCGTTGGCTCGCGTACTCGTATGCGAAGAGAGAAAGAAAGAAAAAGAGCGTAAGAGGCGGCTTTCACTCGGGGACACGCGCGTTTTGCGTAAGTCGCAGGGGTGTACGCTCGCCGCCGAAAACATTGTCGCGAAGAGCCGCGAGCGATCGCGCGGCTCCGGTGTGGTCCCCTCGAAAGAAAAATAGCCGGCTACGGTAACGAGCCGGAGAACGACGGCGCGCCGTAGTGCCTCCAGCGAAACTTTCATGTGTCGCGCGCTCTCAGTCCCTTTTATACGTGGTCCATTCCTTCGTAGACCTACTCTCGAAAAGTGGCCCAGCGCGCAACCAAAGTCCCCCGCTAGATCCGAACCAATAAGAAAGTAAGTTTTCTCTCCGCGGCTCCCGTTCGTTCGTTCGTTCGTTCGTTTTTACGAGCGCCCGAATGCCGCGCGAGCAATCGCTTGTTCGCAGCTCGTTCGGGTATAAGCTCTTTAATATACATATATACACTGCCGGCTCGAGCGTCTCTTCTCGCTCTCTTTCACCGCTTCTGCGTACCAAGTAAGCATTTCGTTTTCATTAATTGCCACATGATTTTTGGACGTCGATTTCCCTTTCGTTCCCGTTCGTCCGGGCCGTCTGCGCGATACCGATTATTGCGAGTAAGCGATTAACGACTAACGCGGCTTTTCTCACGGTTCGTTCTCAGGCTTAAAAATATTCGCGTGCCGAGCGAATTCGTCGAGCGGCAAATATTTCATTCGCGATCGACCACGCGTCACTTGTCGTCGTCACAGCTGTTCGTGCAATCGAACACACGATGGATTGGCTCAACTGCACAGCGAGTGATTCATTCGGACCGGCTCCACGCGGAGGAAGTGTAATCGCGCGGCAAAGGTGTCGGAGCGCGTGGCGTAACGAATGAAAATTTTTTTTTTCGTCACCTCGGGCGTATAGCGACCTCGTTTTAATGTTTCTTTTTCTCCGCATTCAAGATCAACGACCTTGCGCCTCCCAGCAAAAAAGCTCCGCGGAGATTCGCGGCACTGGCTTCGACGGGGGCGGCGGGAGGGGCAGTCGTCGTAAAGACATAAAGAGACAGCCTGAATTGGGTTTAAAACGCTTGACAATCGTCTGGCTGTATCTCTCGCGTGACTCTAATTTCTCCGGAGGCGTTAACGGTGCAATCGGCATCTGCTAATGGCATTCACCGCTAGCGAATGAATTGCCTCCCCCCCCCCCCCCCCCGCGACGACGGGTGAACACGCGCGCTCCGGTGGATTTTGCCCTCGCTTTGCCGCGCTTGAAATTCGCCAGAGATACGCGAGACTAATTGCGCGAGCCGATCTCCCGGGGATAAAGCGGCTCGCTGCACGGCTCTTCTTCGGGGACGTGAGTCGAGGTGCGAAACGCGACGGCCGACGGATTAGGTAATAGCCGGGCAGCGGGCGAGAACGTGCCTATGCACGCGCGCGGACGAACAAGCCAAATAAACTTCGCGGCGAGCCCGCGGAGCTGACGCGGCATACATTTGCACACGGCAAACATTTGACCCGAGACGACACTTTCGTAACTCGTCGTCGCGAGCGCGCACCGGTTTAGTTCTCGTTTCGTCGTAATTTGCGTAACGGGCGAGCCGCGAGACGGGGCGATCGTACGCGCGCAGCTTCGACACCGAGACGGCTGCGGATAATTATTTTCCGAAACCGCGGGCCGAACGTCGCGGCCGACAATGAAACTCGGCGTCGATCGACGAGCGGCGCGAGGCTCATTTGCATAATTCGTTGTCGCTGGCGCAACTGTCTCCCGCGCGCGTACGGCGATCTCTGTCGAAATTGCATTTTGTTGACACCGATGAGGCCTGGTCTTTCTTTCCGGCAGTGCCTCTCCGAGAGAGAGGACGACAAGAGGAATATCATTGCGGATACGACGCGGTGGCCGCTTCTTTTCTCACGACGCGAGGACGAGCAGCCAACCGACATTCGTCCGACCCGAGAGCGCATCTCCGGATCGGACGGGCCGCGGGGCCGCGGGGCCGCCGAGCTCTCGTCGGAAGTGCAAGTGCCGTTGGAAAGGGGCCGTGGCCGCGCGCGGCTTTCCTCCGGATTATCAAGTTTCGCTTTCGCGATCGACGAACCGTGCCGCGCGCACGACACTCGCTGACACTCGTCGTCGTCGTCGTCTCCCTGTGGCCGGGACGAACGAGCCTCGTCCTCGATTGACAATGCCCGGGTTTCCGCGTTCATTAGGCACGCCGCAAGGCATTTGCGCAGCGATTCTCAAAGTTATGTATATAGCCAAGTATGTCCGCGCGATCGGTCGTCGAACGAGTCGCGTGATCGAGCTGGAAGATCGATTTTCCGACGGCAGCTCATCCCTGACGGTGAAACCACGCTGGCGCGTACGCATTACGTCGGCCGCGCGGCTGTAATCAACGGATCGCGTGCAGCTGGGCGAACGCGTGGGCAACGAAAGCGAGCGCGCCGCTGCAATTTCTCCGCGTTGATGCAGACGCGTTTGTACTTTCATTCGCTCGCCTGTGCCGATGGGACAAGCGTATATATATATATATATATATATATATATCCATTGAAGGCGCTACGCCCGCCGTTGTTACGCGAGAAGGCGCGTCCTGCCGGACGACCTTGCCCCGTCTAATTGGCGTGATACGATTCGGAGCGAGGCTCGACCGCACGAACAAGCTCCGAACACAACCACCGTTCCCTCGGATGTTACCCGAGCGCGCATCCGAAGCCAAGGTCAAAGCACTTTGCCCGCTGAGCCATCCCTTGTATCTCTCTCTCTCTCTCTCTCTTTCTCTTTCTCTCTTTGTCCCATTGTACGTTGGTCAACAGACAATAGAGCTCACGGTCGTTCGGCGGTGAGAGGCCAGCGCACTTTCCAAACGATTGTATCCTTGCGGAACGCCGAGCTAATGACGCGGATGCTCGTTTACGTGAAGCTAGAGATACCTTATACCATGGAGAGGGGGGGGGGGGTCATCAGATCAGTCGTATGAGCTCAAACATTTTTCAAATTAACCTTTTTAGCGGCAATTGATTAAGATGGGAGAGATCAAGTAATAAATGCATACATGTATTTTATCAGTTGAAATGATTGTTTATTTGCGAAAACGCGTCCTACTCTACCAGTGAAAAAAATCACAATAGAAATCCTATAACGATCTCATCGTTCTCTTGCGAAACCATGCAGCAACTATTGATGCAAAATATTGTCATTAACTGAACGCTTTGATGTGCACACGTGGTTATATATTTGCCGTTACGATTGGGGCATACAATATTCAAAAGGGGAATAGCCCCAATCATTCGAGTCGCATCGTTCTAACCACTTAGATGTCTCCGTTATTCTTGCTCGTGGAAAGGGATGATTCAATAAGCGCACGAGTGATCGTTCGTCGTAGTCAAGCGGAAGTATCGCTAGCTCCTTCACGGCACAAAATTTACCAGGCATCGCGAAGCCTTGCATATCAAGCTACTGCCGAATGAGTTTTTTTCACATCTCCCCTCATTGGATTGTATTGAACGATGCAATCGTGCTTAACGAGGAATATTTTTTCTTGTTTCATTATGTTTAGAGCAATGAATGACAGTGAGCGGTTTTTCATTTATTAAGGGAGAATTTTTTAGGATCGGTTCAGAGCCCTGTTGCCGTTGCGAATTGCCCTTTCAAATTTGAGAGGTAAGCGATACTTTCGCATTACTGATGTTGCAATGATCGAATACGTTAACATTTTCGTTTAGTTTGAAAAGCTAAGATGAAAAAAAGGTGGTTTTTGATTTGCAGTTTTGACTCTGCATACATGACTTGCGTTTACAGGTTTCGTTGGACACTCACGTAATTCCTAATTACGAAAACTTATTGAAATGCTTCTTTCTATTTTCAGAAAATTAAGCAGACGAATCGATTCAGTTTTCGATGCGCAAGCCATTCGACA